TATTGATACATAATACATCATTTCAAGATTTCTGCAACAACTCTAATGGGAAGAAAAGCACCTGTGGTTTCCACTGTTGATTGGGTCACAGGTACTGCTGATACTCTGGTTAGTTGCTTATACATATATATATATATTTCAGCATATTATGGGGTACAAATGTTAAGGTTATGTATATTGCCCTTGCCCCACCTCTCCCCTTAGTTGCTTATATTTTTGCACTTGATCTTAGCCAAAATGCCGAGAAGCGATAGTTGCTTATATATACACACACACACACAGCACAACACCAACATATTATATATATATTTTTTTTTGGAGACAGAGTCTCACTTTGTTGCCCAGGCTAGAGTGAGTGCCATGGTGTCAGCTTAGCTCACAGCAACCTCAAACTCCTGGGTTCAAGCAATCCTGCTGCCTCAGCCTCCCAAGTAGCTGGGACTACAGGCATGTGCCACCATGCCTGGCTAATTTTTTTCTGTATATATTAGTTGGCCAATTAATTTCTTTCTATTTATAGTAGAGACGGGGTCTCGCTCTTGCTCAGGCTGGGTTCAAACTCCTGACCTTGAGCAATTGGCAAGCCTCAGCCACCCAGTGTGCTAGGATTACAGGCCTGAGCCACCGTGCCCGGCCTGCTTATATTTTTAATGGAAGAAAATGCTAAATCCAGTTAGTGGAAATAAAGAGGTAGTGCTTTTCTCATCCAAGTTCACAGACTACCTGGATTTTGCCCCTAGAATCCTTTGGTGTTCTTGAACCTCTGGTTAAGAAACTCAAAAAGGAGAAGGGTGGTTGGGGCAGGAGGAGAAATGCGTGTTAACCCCGTTTGTTCTGGTGAACAATTCAGATCCGCACTTTCTGAGGGTGCCCAGCTGGAAGATAGCCCTGTTTGTAATCGTGCCGGTCCTTGGCCCTCTGGTTGCCTTGATCATCTGCTACAACTGGCTACATCGAAGACCTGCAGGTGCAGTGGCTGGGCAGCAGGCAGGACCAAGTAGTTGGGGACCAAGGCAGCCCTGGATGGGAAGCAGAAAGAGAATGGAACCAGGGCACAAGAGTGGGGGGCTGGGACTTCCTTCTGGGCTCCTCAAACCGAAGGGAACCCTTACTGGATCTGTGGCATCGCTCAGCAGAAAGTGTGGTGGGTAACTCCAGATTTCACAGGGAGGCGTGGGGGAAGGAGCTAGTCACCTTCCACCAATCAACTAATTGTTTCTCTTTGTTTTCAGGGCAATTCCTTGAAGAGCTAAGTAAGTTCTTTTTCTTACAAGAGGAGAGTAAAAAGCCAGGGAAGGGAGACAGATCAACAAGAGGAAGAGGGGGCCACGGAGGGATCCATCCCAAAGGGAAGGAGTGGCTGGAGTGTGGGGGAGGAGGCTCCCTCACCTGAGAGGCAGAAGGGAAGGGGGTGGATGCTGGACAGTTCCCAGGTGGCAGGGAAAGAGGCTGTAGGCACTCCCGCCTGTGGCTCAATGTGCCCCACTGTCGTGCCCTTGTGGACCCCATCCCAGGCTGGCTGCCCTGTGCCTCACCTCCAGACCAGCCACGGAAGTGGGCACAGAGACAAGATGACCCTGATTCACAGTTTCATGATAGAGACCACTGGCACAGACTTTTCATGTTACTTTTTCTTTCTTCTAGGAAACCCCTTCTGAGTGATGTCACATCTTGGCAGGGGTGGAGGAAAGCCTGGTTGGTCCAAGGATTGGTCCTTGGGGATGTCTCATTCATCAAGTTGCACATTCACTGGCATCTTTGCTGTGAGGACTTCCCAATCTGCACTTCCAGGAACACTCTGAATTCCAAATCGATTTGATTTCCCTTCTTCTGCCTTTTCTCTTCCTTCCTCTAGCTCCTTCCCTTTTTTCTAGCCACATTTTCCCACTCCTCTCCTGTCCTAGCTGGAAGTCCTCTCTGGCTAAGGCCAGGCAGGTGCTCTCTTCTTCTGAGGATGCCTGTGTTGGAGGGCAGAGACAGGAGGGCCTCTGCCACGAGCTGCAGACCAGGGCCCTCCTCCCTGAGGGTTGCAGCAGGCCAGCTCTGTAGATGGGAGTAGTTTTTCCCAAGACCCCCGCCCTGACTGGGCAGAGCTGAAAGGTGTGGAGGGTAGGAGGGAAGGCGTGAAGGCGCAGAAAGAATCCAAAACTGCAAAGGGAGATTGAGTGAGCCGCAGAGTGAGGATGTGGGGAGCCTAATCACCATGAGATGAGGAGAGGCCCACAGAATACTGGCCAGGGCTCCATCTTGTCTCAGAAGCCTAGCAAGGACCCGGGGGAACAAGGGGTGAGAGCCAGGCACCCGTCTCAGAAGGTTTCCCTTCCACTTGTATGTCTGTGGGCCCCTCAGACTCCTCTCATCCTCGCACCTACCAGTGGCCATGGTTTCATTCAACAATTACCACTTGATGGTCTATCAGACACAAAGAAACAAGCTAGGTGCTAACTAACAATAATATGAGTTTCCATGTGCACCTTTCTTTTCCCTCTGTTTTTATATTTCCTTCATTATCCACTCACCTCTCTCCCTCTAACCCAGCCTCCTTGCCCCGGAGGTCAGTCCTCAGGAAAACCAAACTCGAAGAAAGATCTCAGTCAGGAAGGCCATTTACTTATGTTTCAAGACCCTGCTGCCTCTTCTGCTTTGCCCGCTTGCCCCGCCTCCGGGGCGTGTGGCTCCGGGGAGGAGACTCATTTCCTACACGCTTTTCATCCTTTCCAGCCATGGGGGCGGCATCGTGGAAGAAGCCAAGCCACTGGCCCAGGGTGACCCAGCATTTACGACTGCTGCCCAGGCACAGTTCCCGGCCTTTGTAGCCCTTCCAGTGACCCACGAGGCCCTCCTTCTCTCCAAAGCACAGGTCACAGATCGGGCAGCGGTAGATCTTCTGCTTCCAGTGGGTCTGTTGGTGCCTGGCCAGCCTGGAGAATGAACTGAAGGACTTGGCGCAATGGAAGCAGCAGTTAAGCTGCTCTGTGGGATGGGTCTTCTGGTGGCTGGAAAGATAGTCTTTCGTGCTAAAAGTCGAGGGACAATGGGGGCAAGAGACCATGAATCGTGAGGGCTTCACTGGATGAAAGTTGGATCTGCTACCTAGGCAGGGGGCCTTAGTGTTAGGTGCCTGGGTGCTGGTCGCAGGGGCTTCGTTCTCAAGCACAGGGGGTTGGGTCTGGGCCACAGGACACTCAGTTCTAAGTGTGGATTCCTGGGTCCTGGCCACCGGTGCGTGGCCCACACCCACAAGCTCCTGGACCGCCCCTGGGCTTCCAATGATGGGCGTCTGGCACCCAGCGGTGGCGCCTGGAATCCTCACAGTGCAGTCCCGGGTTCCGGCCACCGGCTCTTGGGTTTGGTGTATCTTCTGGTGGCGTTTGACCTCAGACTGGTCCCGGAAGGCCTTCCCGCACACAGAGCACGAGTGGGGCCGGTAACCCAGATGGACGCGGCGGTGGCGACTCAGCCCAGAAGCATCACAGTAGGTCTTGTCACAGAGCAAGCAAGAGAAGGGCCTCTCCCCTAGGTGCACGCGTCGGTGGTAGCTAAGGGACTTGGGGGTCCGGAACAACTTCCCGCACTTCCTGCAGCTGTTAGTCTGCTTGGGGCTGTGGACAAACCGGTGGCTGTAGAGGGAGGAGCGCCTGCTGAAACCCTTGCCACAGGCGTGGCAGAAAAAGGGTGGCCCAGCCTGGGATGCTTGGAACACGGGGGTCCTGCCCACAGACCTGGCTAGAGCAGAGGACGGGCACTGGCAGGCCCCTCCGCAAGCGAGAGTGACCTTCTTGTCGTCACTAGTCCCCTCATCCATCAGATTCTGCTCTTGTTCATGACGAGCCTCCTCCTTGTCTCCTGTGGAGAATGAGGAAGAAGACTGCAAGAGTCACTGTGAGAGCCCAGCTCGAGCTGTCCAGCCCAGGCCACTCCCCTCTGTCCCTGCTTTCCCACCCAGCACAGCCATCCTCACCCCTGGGCCTCAAAGACTAGAAATAAGGAAAAAGTTTGGCTTTTCAAATTAAAAGCAAATAAAAATCAGCACCAGAGATCTGAATTTTAACTTATAACCACATTTCTTGAAATCCATTTTCTCTCATTGTCAATATTGCTCACAGTCCCACAGAAACCCCACAGGCAACCACGTGAAACCTCACGCACACTGGGGCACACGAGAGTGAAGAGGTGCTGTTAATCCTCACTCTGCCCCCAGGAACAAGCCTTCCTTACTCAAAGCCAGCATCAAGCCTCTCTCCTTCGCTTCTGTTTTCTCTTGGAAAGAACTTTTTAATCTGAGCAGTATCACAGACAGAAGCAACCTACATGTACTCTCTCAATCTCTAGACATTCCCGTGCCCCGAAAGGCTGACAGTCATCTTGAAGCCAAGGGACTGGAGACTGTGATCACAAGGTCTCTTCCACCTCATGTCTGAGCCGTCTGGAAAGGCGCAGGCTAGGAGAGGACACACAGAGCCTGACGCTCAGTCACTCTCCCTCCCTCCAGGGCTTGTCCCAGCCCTTTGTACCTTCCTCTCTCCCTTGCAGTGCTTACCTGAAAGGAGACCTTCTCTGTCTGGGGGATGGAGACACGCTCTCCACTGCTCCTCTTCTTGCTCCAGCTTGCTGACCAGATCTGGTTTATGCAGAAAGGCTCTGGCTGGCGAGTGGGATGAGAAAGAGGTGAGTTGGTCCCAGGCTGCACCTTCATACCTGATGGACAACAGGCTGCCTCCTGTGCCCTTTGTTTCAGAACACAGCCTGGGACACTTAGATGCAGGGAGGAGGCATTCAGAGGGCCAGTTCCCGGTAGAGTCCCGGCATGCAGGAGTAACTTAGTAAATACTGATTGGATGAATATGCAAATTTGCATGTTTGAGAACACTGTTATCATTTTACAAGTGCTATCTTTGCCTTCATATTTGCTTTCATTGCTTCTCTTTTTACCCCTGAGCTTAGTCCTCCAGATCTTTCACACCTGAAAGGTATAGATTAGAACCAGGGGCCAGTGAAACTAACTGTGAGCCAATCTCCCTGCCCAGGGAAGCTGGATGTTCCAGGGGCACAGGAGGGAAGCCCAGCCTCTTACCCACAGACTCTAGGTTCCTGAAGGTCTCTGACATGACATCCTGGTAAAGGACCCTCTGACTGGCACCGAGACATTCCCACTCTTCCTGCGAGAAATTCACTGCCACATCCTCAAAGGTGACTGGCTTCTAAAACAGTAGGAGAAACTGAGGGAGTCCACATACACACAGACTGACATCTATCGCAAAGTTCAGAGAACGAAACCTAAGAAAATAATTAAACCATGGAAGCAGGAGAGAAATATGAAAGACACAAAAAGCCAGCAACTGTGAAGTATGGAAAGGAAAGGGTGGAAAGAAAGGCAGAAAGATGGGGCAGCGGGGAGAAGATACACAGAATATAAATGGAAAGAAGAGCAAAGGCAACAGGGCTGCCACTCTGACAAGTTTCAGGAAGTGCTCCACAGAGGATGCCGGGTGGCATGGGAGATGGAAAAAGGTCTTGCGGCTCCTCTTCCTGGGTGCTGTTCAGCCAGCAATAACCTGAGATTTCATCTGGCCTGCAGGCAGGGGAATGGATGGAAGCGCTCCTGGAGTCCAGGTTCCTACCTGTCTCTAGCTTGGCCCCTCACCTGCACCCATGCTTCCCACCAGCTCTCTGTTTTCATGGCTGCCTTCAGGGCAGTTGCCACCTCGCCCACCCACGGGGACGTCTTCTGCACGGATTCCATCGGCTTCAGCCAGTCAAGCACTTTCTCTTCCCTGGTGCCTCCTTCTTCCTTTACCCACTCCTGGGTTGGCCCCCAGGGCTGGCTGGTCTCCTTCCTGGAGCTATCCACCTCCCCAGAATCAAGCAGAGGGGGACGCCCCACAGGGGCCCCAGGATTTGATGTGGCTTCCTGTGACAAATGTGTCTGCTCCGAGGGGCTGTCTTCCTTTTTGGTTGTGCTGTCCAGATTCTCCTCTTCCACGGCTGAGGACACCTTTGGTTCCCTCGAGGTCTGGGCCACAGAGTTGAGGGCCCTGCTCACCCTTGGCCCAACTGCCATTATCCAGCAACGCCAGGCTGGGGGGGAGGGGTGTGTCTGGCCTCTGTTCCACCCTGCTTCTAGAAACCTGAGGTCAGAGAGAGACAAAACATATCAGCAAGAAGGAGAGTATGAAGCACCTTCCTTGTTTGGTCAGGGAATGCCAGGAGCTAGTTGTTAACCCCCTGCTCTGTACCATCGAATCCTCTCAGCGCTGCCCAGGGGTGAGTACTGGCCCCATCTTAATGGCCCAAAGCGCAGAGATGCAAGTAGCCTGGCCAAGGACACTCCTAAGCCACAGTCCCCTAAGTCAGTGCTTAAACCCTTGACTCAGTGCCACTGAAAATTGTGTGCTTGGTGTGACCAGCCCTGGACCCGTCACAAACCACCTTGAGTGAGTCTCTTCGTTGTCTCTGACCTGGCTTCATCAGACACATGAGAATAAAGGGGTCACTCTTGAAGATCCCTTTCAGCACAAAAAAATGAAAAATTCTGTGACCCCTAGTTTTAATATATACAGTAGTCACCCCTTATCTGTAGTTTCCTTTTCTGTGGTTTCAGTTACCCATGGTTAACCATGGCACAAAAATATTAAATGAAAAATTCCAGAAATAAACAATCCCTAAGCTTTAAATGTGTGCTGCTCTGAGCAGTGATGAACTCTTGCCTTCCTACTCTAGCACACAGGCACGAGTCGTCCCTCGTCCAGCATATACTCGCAGCGGACAGTCGTCTCCAGCCATCTCCGCCAAAAGGTCAACTGTCCTGGTATCACAGTGCTTGTATCCAAGTACCCCTTGGTTTGCTGAATAATCACCTCCAGGAGCAAGAGTGGTGATGCTGGCAATTCAGAGAGGCCAAGAGAAACCTACAGCACTTCCAATAAGTGAAAAGGCGAAAGTTCTTGATTTAAGGGGAAAAACAAATCATATGCTGAGGTTGCTAAGATCTACAATAAGATACTCTGAGAGATACCACATGCATATAACTTTTATTAAAGCATGTTGCTGTAATTGTTCTATTTTATTATTAGTTATTGTTGTTAATCTCTTACTGTGCCTAATTTGTAAATTAAACTTTCTTTTTTTGTTGTTTTTTTTGAGACAGAGTCTCACTTTGTTGCCCAGGCTAGAGTGAGTGCCGTGGCGTCAGCCTAGCTCACAGCAACCTCAAACTCCTGGGCTCAAGCAATCCTCCTGCCTCAGCCTCCCGAGTAGCTGGGACTACAGGCATGCACCACCATGCCCAGCTAATTTTTTCTATATATATTAGTTTGCCAATTAATTTCTTTCTATTTATAGTAGAGACAGGGTCTCGCTCTTGCTCAGGCTGGTTTTGAACTCCTGACCTGGAGCAATCCACCCGCCTCGGCCTCCCAGAGTGCTAGGATTACAGGCGTGAGCCATCCTGCTCGACCATAAGTTAAACTTTCTTATAGGTGTGTATAAGAAAAACAGTTTATACAGGCTTCAGCACTAGCTGTGGTTTCAGCCATCCATTGGGGTGTCTTGGAACAAATCCCCCGTGGATAAGGGGGGACACTATGTAGACGTTGCCTTGTAACGAATAATATCAGTCACAACCCAACAGCAGTCGTCTACTCAGGGCTCCGAATGAGCACAGGGCTGGAGCTCCCTGCGCAGCCTTGGAAACCTCCTGCTCTGACGCAAAGATGGCTGACTCCCGCCTTTTCCTGCGGGGTGGCCACTCACCCTCATCTCTCCTCCTCAAGATAGAGAGGAAAACATAAAAACGTGTTAACTTTTTTTCCTTTCACCTTTCGGGAAGGGTCGTGGAATTGAAAATACCAGTTAGGAAAAATGGCATTTAAGAATAGCATTTCTGGGATAGGAATTTGATTTCCTTCCTTCCTTTCACTTTCTCTCCACTGCCCTTCCTTCCCTTTCCTTTCTTTCTTTCAAGGTCATTCACACTCATCTGGAAAGGTATGCAGATCTGGGATAATTCCTCTGCTTCCCAGCCAACCACACTCACAACAGCCTCAGCGACAGTGTCCTCGCCCACCGGCTTCCGGCCTTGCAGCAGGGAGGGCCACAGCACTCACTAGTCCTCCTGGTGGCACTCGCTGGCGTGGCAGGAAGAGGCCTCTGGTGCCGATTCTAACCCCGCGGGGCCTGAATCTCGGCAGCTGCTGCCAACACCCCCCCATTTACCTCCGACGGCGTTTTCCTCACCCTGAGGCCCCAGGCGCAACCAGGCTGGAGGGTGGGAGGAGGCCGGGTAAAACTCACTGGACTCTTGTGGCCGTTAGGGGCTGGAGGTCGCCTATGAGGTTGTCGGGGCCGGCCTGTCCGCCCTTCTAGAATGTAAATCCCCTGAGTAATGTGTCGCCATTTTCCACCAATCTCTCTACCCGCAAACCTTCAATGGCTTCCCACAGCAGTTCTGAGAACAACCGAACCCCCCAACACGTCCGCAAGGCCTTGTGGGGTCCTCGTTCGACGCCCCCAACACTTTGGGCCTCTGCTCAAGCCTTCAAGAACCCTTCGCAGCCATCGCCCGGTCCCCGCGCACAGATCGCGGCCGGCCCGACCCTGCGCTCGCCGTCCGGGCGCGCCCCGCTCCCGCGCCCCGGCCTGCACGCGCCCGCGGGGCGGCCCCAGGCTGCTCGGCTCACCGCTGCGCGGCGCCGCGGGCACCTCCTCTCACCCGCTGCGTGGGCGCCTGTGCTCAGAAGTGGCGCCACCGGCTGGGACGGCATGCCCGAAGCCCGTCTGTCCCGAAATGTCCTCTCTGGAATTCCGACTCCCAGCGTGTGCCCTGAGCCCCTCCTTGGCGCCGAGTCCCCAGCGTGCCCGGAGTGGACAGGACACCCAGCCACAACCCAGACCAGCCCAGGTTTCCCAGAGGCACCGCAGAGGCTGGAAGCGCCGTCAAGATTAGGGGCGGCGGAGCACGGACAAACACCCTCCGCCGGCCGGCACCGCCGCCCTACGCACCTGACGCCTTCCCAGGACCCAGACGCAGCCAAGGGCGCAGAGCTCCTCGGGGACCAGCAGCTTGAGCGCTCCCGCCCGGCGCGCGCCGGCCCCGGGCGCAGGCGACCCCGCGCGGGCTGGGGTCCTCCTCTCCCGCCGCCGCGCACCCAGCCCGCGCGAGGCGGTGGGCCCGCCAAGGTCAGGAGAGCCCACCCTAAGCGCCGGATGCCCGGGAAGGCCCGTCACGCCCACCGGCTTGCCCCTCCCCCGACGGATCGCCTCGGGTCCCACAGAGCGCTAGGATCTTGTCTTGTCCCCAGTCTTAATTTACTCTTGGAAACATGAGGGCTAAATTACCTACAACTAAAACACACACATCCACCAAAACCCGTCACCTAGAGCCTAGAGGAAAAGAACAGGCCTTCACAGGCCGCTGAAATAAGCCGCGGGGGCGCTCGGCACCTGTGAAAAGCGAAGGCAGAGGACAAAGGCGGCGAGACGTAACTGGTGTGCAGGTATCCAGAAGACCATGTTCTTGGCCGGCCCGGTGGCTCACGCCTGTAATCCTAGCACTCTGGGAGGCTGAGGCGGGCGGATTGCTCAAGGTCAGGAGTTCGAAACCAGCCTGAGCCTGAGTGAGACCCCATCTCTACTAAAACTAGAAAGAAAAAAATCGGCCAACTAATATATATAGAAAAAAATTAGCCGGGCATGGTGGCGCATGCCTGTAGTCCCAGCTACTTGGGAGGCTGAGGCAGAAGGATTGCTTGAGCCCAGGAGTTTGAGGTTGCTGTGAGCTAGGCTGAGAGTGAGACCCTGTCTCAAAAAAAAAAAAAAAAAAGAGGACCATGTCCAGGTAAAGTCCTACTGGTTAGTCCCGGCCACTTACCCAAACCCAGTTCAACCTTTTTCAGTAACTTTTTTTATACTTTTGATCAGCTCAGCTGAAACCACACCACTTATTTTCTTTTCACTTAATTAGCACTTGCCACATTCCATTTTGTATTATGATTGTTTTTGATGTAAAATATAAACATGAGCATGGGGTTTTATAATTTACAAAATGTTTTGCAAAAAAACGTAACCTCCATCAAACTTTCACAACCACCCTGGAAAGCAGGAATGGCTATTCTGTCTTCTTGCAGGCGAGGAAACAGGCGAGCGGTGTTGGGCCTTGCCCGCTGCCCCAGGCCTGGAAACCAAACCCTCTGCTTTCCTGTCTCCACACTGGTGTCTTGGCTCCATAGAAAAGCACTGGATGGCTGGCAGGTGCAGGTTTCAGATCTCTCAGCGTTCCCAAGGTACCTGGCACAGTGCTCTGCCCCTTGCAGGCAGACAATCCCTGTCTGTGAGCTAGGGCCACTCAGGCAGAGTCGGAGCAAGGCCTGCGAGGGGAGAGAAGGTGGTGAGAAGTGCCTGAGGCAGAGAATGGAGCAGCCTTGTAGATCGCCCGAGCTTCAGACGGCGTGAAAATGGGCAGAGGTGGGAGTGGCAAATATGCTTTCCATTACACATGGACAAGCAAACCAGCTTTCCAATAAAGACAGGATCTGGCCCAATCACTGTGCCTGCCTCACTTGCCCCACCCTAATCCCCACCCTTGTGCCAAATCGTCTTATTAGGAAACTGGAAACCAGCCCCCAGGTCATGGTTTGCAGATTTGATTTGACCTTCAAATCTAGAGGATCAGCAAAGAATTATGGGATGAATAGGGCATTTGGATGAATAGGACATTAGGATGAATAGGTCATTCATTCATTCAAGAAATATTAGACCACAAGTGACAGGATGTTTGTGGGGCCCCTCCCGGACCTGGGCACCAGCTGTGTGGCCGGGAGACCTCTCTCTGCCCTGAGGTCAGAGTCCACAGTCACTCAGTGGAGAGGACACGTATATGTCAGCGCGGATTTGGGGAACACTTTCCGAATCTGACATGTGATGAGCGCTCCATGTGTACATGGCCTTGTCCAGCCAAGGGTCACCCTGGGGAGATCGACTCTCGCGTTGTCAGCCCCGTGGCCACAGGGGGGCGCCGCTGCCCTGTGCTCTGAGATGCTGATTGAGCAGCCGGGGAAGGACTGGGCTGTGGTTCACACCGTGGAGGGGTGGCCGGCGTCAATGACCGCGAGGCTGACTTCTGTGCCAAAGGAGAGAGCCCCAAGCAGGAACCCTGCCCTGTTTCTGAGATTTCTGTCTCTTCTCCCCACAGCCCCTCTCTTGGACCCCTTGCTGACAACACCCTGGGAAAATGAAAAGTAGATCATTTTTACTTCCACTCACTAATCTTTTTTGAGGACTGTTTTTTAAGAATAACCTTTTTAGCTTCAGAATACTTTTTGATTTACAGAAAAGCTGTGCAGGCATTGTGCAGTTCTCATATATCGCTCAGTTTCTTGTATTCTTGACGTCTTAATTTATTATCATACATTCACCACAGCTCAATATTGATACAACACTAACTCCTACTTTGGATTCTGTTACTTTTTCTTATTGTCCTTTCTCTGTTTTAGGATCCCATCTAGGATGCGACTGAACATTTAATCCCAGGCGTGTGTCCTTGGCCTGCTCCGGTCTGTAACAGTTTCTCACACCTTCCTTGTTTTCAATGATCTTGACATTTTGGGGCAGTACTGGCCAGGCATATTGTAGAATGTTCTCTGATTTTAGTTTGGTTGACTGGAGTTGTGGGTTTGGGGAATAATATCACAGAGATGAAATGCAGTACTCTCAATACAGAATACCAACAGTATATTACTTGATTTACCAAATGATGACGTTAACCTTCCTCGCCTGGCTAAGGTAGTGTTTCCTAGTCTACAATAACGTTTGTTATAGCAGCTCAAGAGGCTAAGACACCTCCCTTGTGTACAGAACCCACAACCCTTTCTAGCACCTTGATGACAAAACCTGAGAAAGCTAAAAAGTAGATAATTTTTTTCTTCAACTCTCTATTCCTTTTCTGCAGGCTGTTTTAAAAAATAAACATTTTTTTATTTTAGAGTATTTTAAGAGCACACAAAAGTAACAAAGCTTGCTTTTTTATGTGGGATATAGCTGCCATATATCCCACATCCATGTCTTCCATTGTTGACATGTTTCATTCCCATCATACATTTGTCACAGACGAAACAATATCATACATCATCACCAAACTCCTTACTTTATTTGGATTTCATTAGTTTCTTCTACTGCCCTTTCTCTGTCCCAGGATTTCATTCAGGATATCACATTGTATTTAGTTCCAATCATGTCTGCTTAAGGCTCCTCCTCCCTTGACTTTGCTTGTTTTTGAGAACTGTCTTAGTCTGTTTAGTGTTGCTATAACAGAGTACCTGAGACTAGGTGGTTTATTTTTTAAAACGTTTATTTTGTTCATGATTTTGCAAGCTGGGAAGTTGGAGAGCACAGTGCAGCATCTGGCCAGCTTCTGGTGAGGGCCAAGTGCAGGGTGGAAACATGGCAGAGGAGAGGAAAGGAGACCACATGGTGAGGCAGAAGGCAAGAGAGAGTCTAGGATGCCAAACTGCTTTTATAAAACCTGCTCTCTGGTAACTAATCCAGTCCCAACTGAACAGGAATTCACTCACTGTCACAGCAGGGTGTTAATCTATTCATGAGGTATCTGCCCTGATAACCCAGCACCTCCCAGTAGGCCCCAGCTCACAACACTCCCACACTGGGATCAAATTTCCATGTGAGTTTTGGAGAAGACAAATTCAAACCATAGCAAATGACTCTGATAATTTTAAGGAGTCCTGCTTATTGTGCAACAGAATGTCCCTCAACCTGAGTTTGGCTGACTGGGACCATGGGTTGTTGCGAAGAAGACCGAGAGGGGAAGTGCCACTCTAAATACAACATACCAAGGGTGCATGGTATCGACTTAACTCATCACTGACGATATTAACCTTCATCACCTGACTAAGGACAGTTTCCCAGAGTTCTGTCTGTAAAGTTCCTTTTTATCTGCATCCCTTTTCATACTGTGGTCTTTGGAAGGAAGTCACTATGTGCAGCCCACAGTGAGGGGTGTTCTGCTATAAATATTTGTGTACAGGTTTCTGTGCAAACACAAGTTTTCATATTAGTTGGATAAATACCAAGGAGTGTGATCACTGGACTATATGGTGAGCCTTGATTTAGCTTTACAGGAAACTGCCACATATCTTCCATGGTGGCTGCAGTTATGCACATGCACCAGCCACAAATGAGGGTTGATGTTGCTCCCCATTCTCAGAAGCACTTGGTATAACCAGTTTTTTGTTGTGTTTTTTTGAGACAGAATCTCACTGTGTTGCCCAGGCTAGAGTGAGTGCCATGGCGTCAGCATAGCTCACAGCAACCTCACACTCCTGGGCTCAAGCGATCCTCCTGCCTCAGCCTCCCGAGTAGCTGGGACTACAGGCATGCGCCACCATGCCTGGCTAATTTTTTGTATATATATTTTTAGTTAGTAAATTAATTTCTATTTATAGTAGAGACTGAGTCTTGGTCAGGCTGGTTTCGAACTCCTGACCTCGAGCAATCCTCCCGCCTCAGCCTCCCAGAGTGCTAGGATTACAGGCTTGAGCCACCGCGCCCGGCCTAATTATAATCATTCTAATAGATGTATAATGGTATGTCATTGTTTTCACTTGCATTTCCTTAGGGATAAGTGATGTTGAGCATCTTCTCATACGCTTACTTGCCATTTCTATGTCTTATGTGATAAAGTGTCTGTTCAGACATTTGCCTGTTTTTAAATTGGGTTAATTCTTTTCTTATTGTTCAGCTTTAAGTCTTCTTTCCTAGACCGGGAGAGATTTCACTTTGACTCGGAACTTCACCTCTGTTAGCTGTAAAACAGTGTGAGCATCTACGTGAAACCTTGTAGTTTGAGCCAACGTTGGTGAAGACAGGATGTTCCCTCAGGTCCCTGGGCCCGAATGTGAGAGGACACAGTGTTGTTACTTGGCACTGTTTGTCTCGTCAGGTTTTACCAAGTTCTGTCTTTAGCTCTTTCTTTTTTTTTTTTTTTTTTTTTTTTTTGAGACAGAGTCTCGCTTTGTTGTCCAGGCTAGAGTGAGTGCCCTGGCGTCAGCCTCACTCACAGCAACCTCA